GGACATTTGCTTTCAGATATAGAGAAGTAACCAGCTGCAAATTCTGAGGAGAAATATTTAGACTTAAGTTAACTTCTACCTGAACAAGTGAGTTTACTAATACTGGAGGCCTAAAAGCATATTAACAGAGTGATTAGCCTATCAAAAATAGACAAATAGATAAACAAGATGTCTTATAATCTCAAATCTGAACTATAAACCTCTATTCACTCCCCAAGCTACTATACAAACCAGACATATTGGCTTGTACAAAAACAGTGGTTTAATTTAATGTAAATATTTCACTCTAGGATCTTTAAGGCAGTTCTTTTCTTTAAATACTATTTATCTTATAAAGATTAACCATGACTTTTTCAGAGTATAATAACAGGACAACAGAAAAGCTTTCACATGTATTAGAAATATAAATATTTCAAGACATACACAATTTCTTGTCAAATGAAAATTTCACCACTTACGGCGGAAGTATTTCTGAAGCCATGAATATTTTCTCCACAAGCTCTGAAAGTATGTTCAATAGGTGTGCTAAATTAGTGTTCACGTCTTCATTTTTTTCCAACTTTGATGGACTTAACTAAGATAAGGAATAAATCAATATAAATGCATCTTGGCAATGACAAATGCAAATGAATTGAGGTAAACAAGTAGTTGTAGTTTTCAAGGTTGTCTTTTTCAGTATCTCAGTGTGTATTCATCTTTTTTCTTTGTATAAGTGGGAGTTTGTAAGTAGTTTGCTCTATGGAACTCCTTCTGGTAGATTTGTTACCATTTATTCCCAATTACCCAACTGAAAAGCAAACAGTAATTAGTCAATTATGTTTATTTGGGGGGGGAAGCCAATTAAAAGCCTTTTCTGAATGAGACTTATTTAATGGCTAATAAAAATATCAAATGTCTTAGGCAGAATCACAAACCTTTGTCAGGACTCTTCCTGTAACCCTTCTGATCTAGTGTCAGCAGAGTAGATTTATCTATGGAAGTCCAAATTCTGTAGCCTGTCTCTAAAGTCTGGAGACTTCCTACCTACTTGCTGAATTTCTGTGTCATCCTTATGTTAGGCTAACTATGGCACTACTCCAGATTTCCAACATTAAATCACAAATTTCTTCCCTTCAAGTTATTAGTACAAATTGACATCTTTGTGCAGGATTAACAGTTGCTGGTCCCAGTGTCCACTGTGAGAAACAATTCCTTATTTTATTGATTTTTATGTCAAATCTAAAATATGTAGTCGCTTAACCATTAAAATGAAAGAATATATGTGTGAGATTCCGCTTACTATCTTAATAGTTTATTATGAATTTGTACTTAAGCTTTAACAATCCTAAAAGGTGTTTTTTATTTGCTTTTGTTGAGGTTATCTCAATTCTCCTCTCGCAAAAAAAACCTTCAAGGACAAAACTAGATGTTATGAAGTGCTACATAGGTTATGAGATAAGTCACTAGCAAAGCCTTCAGTTTATGTATGCACACTTTCTGTAAGTAATATATAGTTTGTCATTAGTACAGCAGAAGAAATGACCAAGTATTTCCAAAGTTCATTTTGTAAAACATTGTAATAAATATATTACAAAAGGGTATAACTGCTATGAGGAATAATTTTAGAAATCTAACATGTTTTCCTTAAAATGTAATGTATTTTTGCAAACAGGTGTTTTGCAAACAGGTGTTTGCAAAAATACTTCTTAATTAAATTCTTACCTCACAAGACTGCTTGCTTTCCATTATCTTTAAAATAGAGTCTTTCAAAGCATGATGAACAAACTGTGTAGCAGTGGCTTTCATATACTGCTCCATCAAGGTGCTTGCAAGTGTTGTGGCTCGAAATAGGGTAGTGGCTTCATCTACACGAATATTTACATTAGAAGATTATTTGTTAAGGACTCAATGTGACCAAATTGGAAATTAAGTGAATTCATTTTACCTCAACAGGAATAGCCTTTTAAATGTACCTTTTGCATGCAACATTGAAGTACTAATTACAATGACATCCTATACTTCTACAACTTAACTCTGTAAGACTTTCAGATGTATTACCTCTTTATATCATAAACAGGAGAAGGGATTAACACTGCATGTTTATACTGAAAAATGAAGACTCAGAATGGTTATATGGCTTGTCTAAGATCAATTAGACAGCTAGTGACAAAATTAGGACCATAAGTCAGCTGCGCTGTCCAATGACCCCAGGCTTTGAAATTTGGGGATTTATTTAGGATTACAAATATAACACAAAATCTCAATATAGATTAATTAGCCTAAAACATGTCTGATGAGTTTCGGTAAAATTTTAATAAAATACAAATGCTGTCAGAAAAGATAAACTCAATGTAAAATAAGGATCACAGTTTTATCTATTCCTTGACAAATTATATACCTTTATAATTTTTATAATGAGGAGGAAATAGTTCTAAACTTTACTATTTATTTGGGGAATCTAGAAGCAAGAACTGTTACTGAATCAAAGTGCTTGGTTGGAGGGGCAGGGAGAGGGTAATTATTTCAACGTATTTGTAAGTCATTAAAAACACTGTGTGTCCATCAGCTTGGGAACTACCCATCTATAAAAGCTAGAAATAAAATGCAGGTGACACCCAACTTCTGTGCAATGAAGTAAAAAGTAAGAGAATATAGTTAAGTATGCCAGACTTTTCTTGATAGTCAAGCACTATGAGCCACTGATGTGGACACAGATACCACTTTTCTTGGGGCTTCTAGTACTTATCTGCCAAAACCTCCATTAGAAATATTAGCTCCCCAAAGTAACTGACATAATCAGAACATCCAACTGCAATAATAAGGGAAATCAGATTAACAATTTGCAATATAATTTAACAATTTAGTATATTCAGAGATAGAGTCTATATATGCGTGATACAAAGTCTAAACCCAGTTTCTTAAAGTATCATAGCCATACTATACATAACCATACTATACCTTCCATGCTTATTTCTCTGTCATTTAGTGTGCACAACAACAACGATTCAAGCTTTTCATGAAGAAAAATCCTCAGTAGGATGCTGGCCAGTAGTGTTCGGTCTTGTCCACATACATGTGATAAAGCATAGACTACATGAAGTTCCTTCTGCAGTATAAGCTAAAATGACATTTTAAAAGATGGTTTAAAGTACACAGCATTAAGCATTCTTTCTTTCATAAGTTCTTAGAATGAATTCAGAGTCTACCTATTTCTAGTCTAATCAAAATCACACTATAATACAAGGTTTTTAATCTTCTCTGGTGTCACTGTGCCACTAAGCTATGAATTACTCTGTCTAGCTTAATGGATCTTTTATTAAATGTTTATGTTAATTCTAACAAAAATAATTAGACAAATAATACCTCCTTAAATTCACTGTACTCTTCTTCTGGCATGATTTTTTCCATAGAGTATCGTGCTCGAACACGCAGGGACCCTGGTTCAATACCTTTTAATGGTATATGGGAGCTGAGCAGAAACCATTCATCTGTGGCATGCCCTTTCTGTAATCGGCTCAACTGGCAACGCATAAATACTTGGGAAGAAAAACAAGCAATTATTGTCTAAAAAGATAACATGATAATTAGTCATGCAAGTAAATTTTCCTGTTGTTCAGTCTTCTCAATGGTGTTAAATGCTTTTCATTAAAGGAGTTTTCAGTAACATCACAAGTTCAGTATTTAACTGCTTCACTTATTTACTGAATGTACCATACACTAAACTCTGATAGGTGGGAGAAGTATAGAGAGGATTGAGATGTGGTCTTTGAGTTACACAGCAGTCAGTTTATTCAAGATGGCAAGAAATCAGTCATGTGAACATTGATAAGTGCTGTTAACAGTGGTGAATGCTGTTGGAGTACAGAGAAATCATATCTAATTCGGCCTGTGGAGGTGAAAACTCCATTTTAAACAGGTAACCCTTAAGCTGCCAAGATCTGGAGGTATATCTAAGAAGAAAAGTAGTGAAAAAAGAGCACTTTAAATATAAGGCATGGCCTTCCTTCTGTGTCATTACTGTGGGGGTTGGATTTTATCATAAAAGGGAAAACTAAAATTAGTACAAAAAAAAATTATAGAATAAACATTTTATAGAGAAATATTCAGGCTTTGATCTGTCTGTTAATACATATCACTTTCCCTAAGCCTGAGTTTTAAGAAGGCATTAACCTAATTCACCCTGATGTGAATGGTAAATCCCACTGCCAACTGTTTCTGTTTTAGTAGCAGGATGGAAAGAGTTGTGCTGCTAAGAACAGGAACTGAGAGCCTTTGACTACCAGAAGTGAATAAATGACATATTCGAGGTTAAGGGTAATTTTTAAATAGAATTCTTTTTTATTTATATGCTAATGTAATCCCAGCACTTTGGGAGGCTGAGGTGGGTGGATCACCTGAGGTCAGGAGTTCGAGACCAGCCTGCCCAACATGGTGAAACCCCATCTCTACTAAAAGTACAAAAATTAGCTGGGCATCGTGGCAGGCGCCTGTGATCCCACCTACTCAGGAGGCTGAGGCAGGAGAATCACTTGAACGTGGGAGGCAGAGGTTGCAGTGAGCCAAGTTCTGCCACTGCACTCCAGCCTGGGTGGTAAGGGTGAGACTCCATCTCAAAAGAAAGAAAACAGGAAAAATATAAAAAGTAGAAAGAAGGGATGAGGGTAAACCGTTCAAAAAGATCACTGTAATCATTTTCTTATTCTTCCTATTCATTGGAGAAAGGACAGTGGCTAGATATTTTAAAGTACTTAACTGTACAGTTGAATCAGGTTGGTGTTTTTCTTTCTTAGGTATATTCTTTCTCAATAATCAATACTTTAAGAAGTACAGAAAGAAACTATCTCAAATTATACTACTTGTATTTGTTTTAATTTTTAAGACTATTTCATTGCGAATTTTAAAAGTTTATAAAACATGCTTTTTCTACTTTAGAAAGAGTTTCTGTATCAACTTACAGATATCAGGATCTTTGCTTTTCTTTGTTTTATTACTAAGAGTTATTTCAAATCTATTGATGTCAGGAGGAAGATCACTAAAGGAACAAGGAGAAAAAGAGTTAAGAAAATGTTTTAACATCAAACTACTTTATTCCTTTAGTTCTAATATCAAATAAGCTCCCTATTTCAGCTTAAAAAAAAAAGTGAGTGTGCTACTCTTATTTCACAACATATTGTATTATTTGGTTTACAGAAGACAAGCAAATTATATACTTTACCTACCATCTTTAACCTCCTAAATAATTCATTCAAATAAGTACTGGAAACCCTACTAAACATTTTGTTTTTTGACTTGCTAATTCATGTAAATAACTAGGTGGAAAAACCAAGGGCACAGCTTCACAAATAAAGGTGAACATATAAAACAAAATATATATATATATATACACGTGTGTGTGTGTGTGTATGTATATATATATGCTGTTAAAACACCTGGATGTGGTACCTTGTTCTGATGGTTTAGATACAGAGACCAAAAGAATGGAAAGAAAGGAAATATCATAAAAGAAAATGATTAATGATAAAATAAGACTTACTCAAAGACAAACTCTTCTGACCATACTGGGTTTTGCCCTTCCCTTGCATGAGTTTTTGCTACTTGGACACTATTCAGGTAGATGTTACAATATGGATTAGTAAAATGTTTTACTGGAAGTTTATGGGCTTCTTCAATATGTAAAACAAGGCTGCTGACCTAAAAAAAAAAACAACAACAACAAAAATTATTACCCCAGATTTCTAGAATTGCATTAAGTTTCAAAAGCAATTACTCATAAGATAAAAAAGCCCAATATAGTGACTTATTTTCCACCTTTTTTTCAGAAAATATGAGCTTTGGTTTTATTTTTCCTTTTTATATGACATACTTAAAACATTAAAATATTTAAAATAATTCTTCCCACCTAAGAAGATAAAACAATGCAATTTTATTTTACAAGTTATTTCTACCATTATCTTCTTGGAGAAATACACCTTTTCTACCATAAAACAATGATACAGAGAAAAAGTCGAGAGGAAAATTCTTTATTCATGTAAGTAAACAACTGTCACTACTCAAATCAAAACCCTGCATGTTATATAATGCTTATCTAGAAGATTTTATTTCTATAAAATAGAGTTCCACGGCTAAAACTTTTTAAAACACTGACTCTGCCTTCTTATTTTATAGGAAAGGATACAAATGTAAAAAATACTAAGTCATTTGTCAGTTTAGATCATCTCCCTTCTACTGTCAGGTCCTCTTTCTCTGCTGCAGTCAAATGCTCTACCACTGAGCTATACCCCACTAGGTCCTCTTTCTCTCTTGCCATGTACTACTTGTGTGGCCTTGGACAAATCAGTCCCTCTAAGCCTCATTTTTCTAATATGTAAGTAGAAAGTCTACACTACAGATTTTCATAAGGATTACAAACTAGTTGTCCCTCAGTATCTGCGGGACTGATCCCAAGCCCTCCCCTTCTCTGTCCTGGCAGATAACAAAGCCCAAGGATGCTCAAGTCCCTTATAGAAAATAACATAGTACCTGCATAAAATCTATGCACACCCTCCTATATGCTTTAAATCATCTCTAGATTACTTGTAATACCTAATACGATGAACAGCATCATTGTGATACTATATTTTTATTGTATTTTTTTCTGAATATTTTTGACCCACGATTGGTAGATTCCACTGATGCAGAACCCATGAATGGGGGGGAGGGGTCAACTGTATATGTAAATCACTGAATCTCACTGTCTACTGATACATAAAAAGTGCTTGAGAGATGTTAGCTATGATTATATTATACCTGCATATGTCAACTTAATGGCTCAAGTTTCATACAAAATACAACTTGCTCTTATTTGCGAAAATCCAATCTGATTTTTTATAGCTTACAAATGTTACAATGTTATGAACACATGGTGATTGTGTGTATATTTAAATTTCCTTGGGCAACAGCCAGACTTTGGGTTACAAGGACTATTTAGTCACTAAATATCAACTATTATCCACTCCCAGTAGAACAGTATATTAATCACTCAGCTTATCAGATAGTCACATGAAGAAAACAGAAGACACTTTGGTCAGTAAATAAGTATTGTACCAAACTTTCTTTAAAAACCTCAAGTATGTCAAAATTTGCCTAACTTCTTCCAATTATACAGGGATTACTATAAAGAAAAAAGCCAATAAATGGAGGTTATAAAGTTACCCTTCTACAGGCAAAAAAGAGAAAGCCTACTCTTCACAAATGAAAGTAATAGGCATGTTATGGTTTCAAATAAGATTAAATATCTCCTAAGAGTTAAGCAGTACGTTTCAAAAGCTGTTCTTCAGAATGAAAATCCCAAAAAAGTTTATTGGGATTAGTACTGTAAATCTGATGATCTTTTCAATGTTCTACTTTTCTGAAAGAAGCCAAAATAATTTTTTGAAGGAAAATTAAATGCCCAACAGAACAGTTTCTGTTATGGTGGTATAGTATTATTATTTTAAGTGGAAGAATAAATAATCTTATGTTTTTAACAGTTGGCATTATGGACTAAACATTCTCTTTCATAAAGAAGTAACGTTTTCCTGCTACTGAAGCAAGTGGCAGCTTAACCCCTCATAAGATATGATGCCCAAAACAGTTCACATAAAAATAAAACATAAAGGGCAAAATGTTAAAGCAAAATGTGACAACTACAAATCAAAGAAAATTAAGCTTCACCTGACGAAGGCGTTTATTGGATGTCCCTGGACTACTTTTCCGTAAACTGCAAAATGCCTGCAGAGCTTTCATCCAATCCTACAAAGAAAAACATCATTTCAAAGAAATATACACTAGTTTATTTGGTTTCCAAATCATCAATCAGTTTTTTCAAATTCAACAATTCTTTCCTTCTTTAGACTGCTTTTTCTGTTCTCAGACTATACTGCACTTTATTTATGCCCCAATAAAACAATAACCAAAACAATTATAATTCTGTATAAATCTTGGTTTGAATTTATGTATTAAATGCACCATGAGTGGCCATTAATTAGGCAAAAAATCAAATTTACATTAAAGAAATTGTTTCTCTCAAACACATACTACCTTGGAGAAATTAACTGTCTATGTTTAATGAAGCTGTTAACACTTGAGGCAAGCTTTGGTGGAATTTAATTTGATACATTTTGTGAGAAGGGGAGATGGCTCATTGCAAAACCAGCTGATACTGTGATGACTGATTCGATGACAAGCATGCTAATCTATACTTTAGACCATGATACAGGTAGAAATGTATAAGAGGACTTGGGTTATTTTTTTTAAGCTTCTCAAATATAACATTAGATTTAAAAAATTATTTCAGCCTAATATTCAAATCAAATTGCAGCCATGTTTTTTTAAATGTTTATCTAGTGCTTTGGGAGAAAGTAGAGAACTACTTAGGTTTATTAAAAATAAATATAAATATTCACTTTGGTTTTTACATGTTTCTGGAAAGCTGTGTACTACTGCTTTATTCAGTTATGTTTTCAGTTTGTTGGCTATTTCAATGAAGCTGAACTTTGTCAATGTTTAGAAAATGTCTTTATATTAGAGCAAATTAAAACCAAATCAGTTACCATAGCTTTTTGAAATAGAAGAGAATAACCAGAGACCCCCACAGCTCACCAAATCAACAAAAACTGGAAATGCCATTTATGGAAATATAGAATATAGAAAGATTACGTATAAATACATTTTTTAAATGTTATAAGGCTTATAAAACATGCTAAAATGTCATTATGGTATGTGACATTTTTATTCAGAAAGAGGGACCATGATAACATGCCTAGAAAATAGGATACTGAAGTTTAAATTTCTATTCCTAACTCAATTTCTAACATTTTAAAAAACCATCTAACTTACCAAAATGTTTTGAGCCCTACCTTTCTCATCTAAAGATTAGAGATACATAGCCATAAAAATGTTATGTGCATTATCTGTGAAATGAGCATTTAAATGAGATAGTTTATAAAGATGTGAAATATGACATTTAATATGAGCCACAAAACACAGTGGCTTATTCAAATTTATGAGTCTCATGCTAGGATCCAGTTTTAAGGGCATGTTCCTCATATCTAGGGTTGGCAAATTATATTTCCAACAAAGTCACTTTCACTTCTTAACCACCTTTAAATTCCTTTGAGTATCAGCAGAAATTTAGTCATATTTGTATAAAATACAACCATATACTCCAGTAATATTACGGTTCAAAGAAAGCAAAATTTAAAAATTTTAAGAGACAGTGTCCCAGTCTGTTGCTTAGGCTGGATTACAGTGTCTTGATCTTACTCACTGTAACTCAAACTCCTGTGCTCATGTAATCTTCCTGCCTATAAGTCAGAACACCCAGCTTATTTTTTACTTTTGTTGTAGAGCTGGGGTCTCCCTTTGTTGGAAAATATTTTTTATTAAACAGTTTATTAAATATTATTTCTTCACAGAATTACTTAAAACAATACAAGCTATAAGAAGGACACTGCACATGGATTAATAGCTAGTGCTAAAGTAGACATTATATCTAGACTTGGCTTGAAGAACATGTAGAAAGGAAGATTCCTAAAAAGATCTTTCTTTGTGTTGACTGAACTTTTATTTTCAGACATAGAGTTCAACCAGTGAAGAATAATTAATGCTTGTTAGCAAAACTAACTGGCTTATCTTCGCATTGTACTGAGATTATAACCTTTACGCAGAGTATTTTAATGAGCATTCTCAGTTGGCCTCAAAGGTTAATTTAAAATGGAGTTTTCATTCCTAATAACCCTTCACTGTGTTTGTTTCTGCATTTATGCAAAAAATTTTTTACATATGAAACGTCTCATTCCTTAAGAGATGATTAGATTTCAGGCATTCTTTCTATCACTTTATCTTGAATGCAGTCGTTTTCTATTCCAGTTAATAAAACATGGGCTAACACAAAAGTTTACAATAGTTTAAGAAACAGTAATCTCACCTCTGCTTGTTCTGGAGTTTCTCCTGCAAAGTAAAAGATGTAATGTTCTTCACTAAAGTGCTGAACTACTATCTGAAAACAGTTTGGCCTTTAAAATAAAAACGAAAATTATTAGGAAGCTTAATAGAAAATAGCAAAATATTTATACCAACTTTAAAAAACTCACAATTCACATAAAATTGTAATTCTTAATTTAGAGAAATAATTCTCCACTGTACCAGATCATTACCAAAAAAGGGTCGGTCTTATATATTTTAGAAAATTTTATGTCAGCACTATTAAAATATTATCAGTCTTTCAAAGGGTAAAGAACTTTCAATCAATTGTAAAAGACATTAGACATATAGTTACCCAAAAATTGAAGCTGAATTGCTAGAATTGCACACAGCTAATCTGAAAAGCTTTATATGCACTGGAAAAAGACTAGAAATGTTCTTAGACCAAAAATATTCTAAGTAATTATGTCTAAGGAGATTGTAGGTGATTCTATGTTTTCAAATTTTTCTAAACTAATTTTTCTTCACCGATTTTTCTTCACCTGTTAAAATGGAAACATCATCTCCTCATACATATGCTTGTTCTAGAGTTTAAATGAACAGTTGTATATAACAAATGTTCTTGTCTTCCTTTAGTTATAAATCATTTGATATGTAAGTGCAATATTAGATAACAATTTATATCTCTTTTGGAAATGTCTTTCTAACTAGACTTGAAAATGTTAATAAAATTTATTAGGGGCCTGCATGTTTTTAGAGCTCAATAAATGTTACTTCTATTCCTGCTTTAAACAAAGATTTTATCTCACACTAATGTTAGGAGGCCACAGCAAAATACACAGAGCACAAGCTTAACACTATCTTCTCATGCTTTGAGAATGTCCTAAAAGTAATCATGGAAAATAGGAATTGGAAACTTCCAGTTCTAAAAAGTTGCCTGTATCAGACTAACCATCCTGGCTGGATAAAATTTAAAACATTATACAAAACAAAACAAAACAAAAACTATTGGAAAGCACTGGAGAACAACCAAAGTAGCTGTCTGAGGAGCCAAGATCATACTATAATGAACCTGACATTCTCCATAGCTTTTCTGTTCAAGGCATTTGCCAGTTCCTAAGCTGTGTAGTGGAGATGCTAAGCAGAAAACAGTAGCTTAATGGCTAAAAAACTAACCAGAAATCCAGTAGTTTGACAGTGCTGGGAGGAAAAAAAATGGATTTCAGGCTTTCTATTAGGACCCCTTAAAGGGTTATGCCTTCATGATAAGGGTAAACCAGAAATAGAATAGCCTTCACCAGATGTACTATCACTACATCATCAGAACAATCCTTTATGGACATAGTAACTAACATCCATAGCTTCCATAGGTTTTCATGCACAATGTCTACCATTTAATCAAAATAAGTAGACACTACAGACATCAGGATTAAATGGCTAAAAGCTAAGACAAAAACAGCAGAAAGACATACAAATTATCCAGATATTGAAGACAGATAAGACTTTCAAGTAATTAAAATGTTTAATAGGTAACAAGAAATTTGCCAGAAACTGGGTCTTTTAAAAACTGAAAATTCTAAATTGAAAAATGTAAGAAAATGAAGTCCTGAAAAAGTAATTTCACTGCAGAATGGTATATTAGTGAACTAAAAGATCAGAAGAAAATACAGTTTGGTACAGAGGAAAAAGTGATGAAAAACATAGAAAACAGCATGGGGAAAAGTGCAACTTTTTTAACAGGAATCCAAGAAGAAAAAAGACTGTGGCAGAACAACTGTTTAAATTAGACATTAACAGTTTAAATAGATACTAACCAAGGGTTTTCTACAACTGACAAAGAACATCAGGTCTCAGGTTGAAGAAGCACTACAAACATAAGGATAATTTTCTTTTTCTTTTTTTTAATTTACAGTAGGTAAATTTTGGTTTTACTGCTGAAAATATAAGGAAAAATCGCAAAACATCCAAAGAAAGTTGAGTGAGATACACTGCCTCTAAGAGAAAAGACAAAAATATATTACCTCAAAAACAGAAACAATTTGAAAGACAACGAAAATGTTGGAAGGCAGAAAACTATCTTTAAAATAGAAAAAGAAAATGACTGCCAATCTTAAATTTAATATCCAGCAAAACATTTTCATAAATAAATGTAAAGCCATCAATACCACAATAAGATCCAGCTATGAAAAAATGGTGTAAAAATTAATTACCACATGGATATTCACTAGAATAACTTTTTATCACTAAGGCATCTTTCTACTTGTGCTTCTGTAAAGTAATGCAGTATTAAAAGTTAAGAAGTTTAATACAAGGAAATAGAGGACTTGGAGATCTCTTAATATTGAAAATAATCTGGAAAAATTACACAGCTGTGTAACTAGAGCCATGCAAGAAAAAAGCAGTGCCATCCAACATTCATTCAGCATCAGGATGAGCAAGTACACTAATCACCTACTACAGAAGGCTGCTATTAAATTTCATATTAGACTTCACCTAAATGCCAAAGGTCAACATTTCAGGTTCTAGGTATACACAAAGCAGGAAATGTTCCATGCTGGCATTAATATGATAACATAAAGAAAAAGTATTAACATTAATCTACAATTTCCCCTGCTGTCCTCTGGTATTTGTATCCTATTATGATTCATTGTTTATCAACCTATTTTTAACTTGTCCTATTATATGGTAGAGATGTCATCTCATTTTCTTGAAATATATTTTGTTAATGCTATTTGCCTTGGTATTCAGTCTTTCTCACTGTTTCTCCTACTATTTCACAGAAAGGCACATATTTAAAAAAATAGCTGATTGTAACCTAGCATACTTTGAAAAACGTATTTTTGTTTTGTTTTGTTAGAGACAGGGTCTCACTGCTGTGGGTGTAGTGGTATACAGTCAGCCCTTTGCAAACATTTACTTCCTGAGATCAGACAATCCTCATACTTCACCCTCCTGAGTAGCTGGGACCATAGGTGGTGCGCACTACCACACCTGGCTAATTTTTTAAAGAGACGGGTTTCACCATCTCAGCCCAGGCTGGTCTCCAACTCCTGGGCTCAAGCGATTGGCTTACCTTGGGCTCCCAAAGTGCTAGGATTACAGGTGTGAGCCACCGTGCCCAGCCTTAAAAAAAAAAATCTGTTTTCTAAATGAGAGACTTTAGTTCTTACGAACATAACATTTTCATACTAGGTTTCAGACTGAGTATCATTAAATATAACTCATAACAAAGACTTTTTTTTAAAGAAGTATCTTCAAGTTCTTTTAAGTCACCTTCAACAAGAAACTGCACAAGCAGCAAGCTACAACCTTACAGCAAGTGGTAAATGTATATTTATTGCCTTCCCCCCTACCAGATAGAAACTCCTTTCTTGTTAGTAACCAGAATAGGAATCATTCAGAATCTTTAACTTGTGCTTCAAGGATCTGATCCTTCATTAACTCTAGCAATTCTTTCTCCTTTGCTGTCAAGTGTAATGTAGATCTTTCTTTTGATTGTGCCAACAGATTTCCAATCTAACTGCATCTGTTCATATAAAGTTTATTGAAATAATGCTAAAGCTTTTTGTCCGATCTTACAGATATTGCTATATTAATCTTAATACTTTAAGATTCATATCATTCCAGTTGTAAGTATCACTAGTGAATCATTTTTAACCTCACTTTTCCAAGGCTGAATTTCTGCCTGAAATCCATAAACTGTCAAAACATGTACATATAATTTGAGGAAGTTCACTCATTCTTCAGTAAATCTGCAAAATGAGAATCATTCACCAAAAAAGTTTTCTCCTGTAATCATAAACTTTTATCAAAACTCTTCTTTTGGACAGCTAACATGTTCCAGCATCCAACAGTAGGTACTTTGATTCCATTTCTCACATAAGACTGAAAACAGATGCAACTGAAGCAGCTCAGATTTTATTAGAGCCTCCATTTCATAATATTCAGGTCTACAAACATAAGACGATCTTCATATAAATCTTTAAATGTTCCTATCATGATGCCTCATCATCAATCATAAACTTAACTAGCATTTCCATAGGACCTTCTTTGTTTCAAATGTATTTCTTTTCTGGCCGAGTTAAATCTTTTTATGAGTCTAATTACTTTCCAGTGTTAGTCACCAAATTGCCCTTATGGTGGGAAAATAAATATCCGTAAATTAAAGCTAATATATAAAGTAGTAACAATGAAAAATATATCAAATTCATTATGTTATTTTCAAGATCTTCCTTATATATTTTACAATGATAATTAAAACAATTTTAACTTG